TCCTTTATATATATATATATATATATATATATATATATATATATATAATCCTAGTGAGCCAGAAACTACCTACTTGTGTTTCACCTAAAGGAATCTTTACGGCGAACTGACAGAGGAGGATATGACAAAGAAACATATTTATTAGTAGAAGAAAACACTAAAAACTAAAATTAGCATACAACCATACGACGTTAAAAAAAGAAATATTAAAAAACAATATATACATTTTTATAGTCTGTTCACCTTAGTGTATTGAGCACTTTACGTTTTTTCTTATTTTAATCGATAGTGGCTTTTTCTTCGGATTAGACATTACGACAATGGGCTATTTTTTCGCCCTACTCGGATGTTTTTAGTCTAGTACAATTTGCAAATATATATATATATATATATATATATTTGCAAATTGTACTATCCGTTTTTTATACCAGTCGAATATAGACATTAACATAATATATATATCTGCTCTACTTTGTATTGAGCACTCTTTTAAGAATAGTAATTGTTGGTTATTGGAAATCATTCCGTGTATACCAATTATATACTTTTTGATATATATATATATATATATATATATATATATATTATTTTATACATCTATATATATATATATTATCTTATATATATATATATATATATTATATTATATTATATATATATATTATATTTATATAATAATTATATATATATATATATATATATATATATATATATATATATATTTCTGAGATGAGAAAGAAAGATGAAAGTGTGTGAGTTCAATACCCGCTTAAGGCAGTGGAGAACTTGGAGAGGGTAATTAACAGGAGATAATTAATAACTGACATCTCTTAAACGTGACACGTGGAACTAGAACAGTTTACCCCAGTGAGCGAAATAAAGTGTTCAGTTCGACATTCCAACCACCTGAAGAAGATCGGAGCGTACAACGGAGAAACGTTGTAATAAATATGGTATGAGGAATATGGTCCGAATAATGTAAATAGTGTGTATTAAGAAATGTATTAAACCCGATATTTTTATTTTTAATTTATTTTGTTTAAACGGTACTTTTAATGACTAGAAATATTGTTTAATTAAAAAAACAGAGCTTCTAGTTGAATATGAGTATCCATGAAAAATAGAGTTTGAATTAAATAAATTTAAAATAAGACATTATCAAACTGAAGATGCTGGCAATCAGAACCCTATAGAGGAAGGAAAACATCATTATACTGTCAGTTGACAAAGTCAATGAGACTGTAGCGATGGACTAATTGGAATATACAGAAAAACTGGAAAACCTCATTAGGAATCTTAGCTGCAGTAAAGTAAAATAAAACAAAGATCCAGCAATGAAAACAACAAAAACTTTCGCAGATCCCAATTAAAAACAAGTACAACTTCCCACCTAAGACATACAGGCAGTTGTTTCACCGTTACACCAAGCTACCTCACATATACGGTTTCCAGTATTCCTCTCAGACCAATTGTTAGCTGGCAAGCCTCGGTGTGTCACTCTCTGAGTCGCTTTGTTTACGGATATAATAAATCCATTAATAAGGAAGTTACAATCATAAGTCTGAAAATCCGTTCATTACGTGGAAATAATCAGATGCCCCATGCAATCTGACCAGATGATCTGCTTAGACTTGGTGACTTTATTCACCAAGGTACCTACGGAGAAGGAACAGAGACCTCGGATTAATCCTAGTAAAATGTACCAGTATACTAATAGATAACCTGAAGGAGAAGCTGAATTTCTCTACACAAACAACATACCTCGGAATCAGATCTATATCGTCACGATGAAGGCTTAACAATGGGCTCACCATTATCACCACAAATGGCAAGTATATACATAGAATACTTCGAAGAAATTGTATTAGAATCCACATCACTAAAGCCGGCCCTGTAGCTGAGATACGTAAATTACAGCTTCATACTCTGGCCACAGCAGGAAGTGGTCCACTGGACCATGTGAACTCATTAAGATCATCGATACAGTTTAGAACGGAAAGAGAAAACGACAACAAACTAGCATTCCTGGATGGATATACTAATATCTCGAACAGAGCTTGAGTTCAAGACATCCGTATACCGCAAGACGACATTCACCGGACAATACCTCAACTTCAACTCCCACCAACCATACAGTGTAAAAAGAGGGATCGTCCGCTGCTCATTACATCGGCAAAAATCATAAGTGACGACCCAGAGATATATGAACAAGAAAGGGCCAGTATAAGCAGTACCCTACAAACTGGGATAGAAGTGTACAAGAGGATAGCAACACACAGAAAACAAAATTCGGTCTGCCTACCCTGTGATGGGATTATCAGAATTTTTTTTTAAATATCTGTGGTATATATAACATCAGGACGAACTTCAAAAGTGGTTCAACATTTCGCAGAGACCTCTTCCAAGTAAGACACCTCATAGAGGAGAATAGGACTAAGGACTGTATGTACACCATCCCGTGCAGCTGTAGTAAGAAATATAAAGGAGAAATAGGCCGCAGAAACCGCCGTTTCATCCGGCGGGCTTTACCACTCGGCTACAAATAGCTTCAGTGGTAATTTGCATAGCCCTTCCGGAATATATATTGTGTGGATGGGTTACATTATTTAGAGAGTTAAAAAAAATGTATTCAAATTTCTGCTGCCTTAAAACATTTTAAGAGTTTAATGAGGAAGAGTTTTACTATTCTGTATCTCTCTACTTCAGCTGTGTTAAAAGGCTGGGTAGACTAAACTGTTTAGACACGAATGTTAACCAGTGCAAGAAGAGGATAAATTTGAATTCCCAACCATGGAGTCTACAACCGGTACCCACTCCTCTATCTTTCCCATGAAATAAAGATCACGGTGGAGTAATGGATAGCGGCTCGGATTGAGGAATCGGAGAGCCGAGTTCGAATTCCAGTCGAATCCATTACATTCTCTTACGTGCTGATACCCTTGGGAAAGGTATGAAACCTCTTCTTCTCCCTCCAGCTATGGGTAAATAAGAGAACAGACCGGGTTCTATAGCCTTGGATGGCAGCTGGTCTACCGCAGAAAAAAACGCCAACCTGTTGCTGGAAAATTTCGGGGATTACGCAGGTCTGTGTTGCCAACATTGTCTGAAAATTTTGTGTGAATTGATTGGAGGGTTTTTGAAATATTAGAAAAAAGTTATCTCGATAATAATTTGGCACGCAGTGTATATATATATATATATATATATATATATATATATGTGTGTGTGTGTGTGTGTGTGTGTGTGTGTGTGTGTGTGCGTGTATCTTTCTCACATTCTACCATAGGAAATTCCCTATCGATGCTTCGTTTATAAAGGCGTGCCACCCACTTCAGAAAAATCGTCGATAGCTGGTGTACATCACAGGAAAAAAAAGCAGTGTTTTTCCTTGTGGAATCTGCGTTTCTACAACTGTTGTACATTACGCTAAAATAGGATTATGGAAAGTTACATCGCCCGTGTAACTTTCGACGTTAACAACCGAGGCCTGACATTTTAAGCACTGAAATCCCAAAGAGAGAAAATAACTCTCCTTTATCAGTTTATCATCCTAAATAGAATCATAATTCCATGATTGATGAAGCATTTTCTGAACGGCCTAACAACATTCACATTCTAATCAACATCTTTCATCTCTTATTTATACATACATCCATCTATACAGAGCATCACCTGGGAGTTGGCATAATCGTCGACATCATCATCATCATCATCATCCTTCTTCTTCTTCTTCTTCTTCTTCTTCTTCTTATTATTATTATTATTTTCATACGTATCATCATTTTTTTCTTCTTCTTCTTTTCTTCTTCTTCTTCTTCTTCTTTTTTCTTCTTCTTATTATTATTATTATTATTATTAATAATATTTTTATACATATCATCTTCTTCTTCTTCTTCTTCTTCTTCTTCTTCTTCTTCTTATTATTATTATTATTATTATTATTATTATTAATGGACAACCTACCAAGTCTGCGGAAAGACCTAAGGCAGGTCGTGGTGTGTTTTATATTTCATGTTAATTTTTTTTTTTTTTTTTTCATCGATGAAGTTGCTAGCGTTACATAGACAAAGTTCTCCTTAGTGTGTGTGCTGTACTTAATAAGACAATTTTCTGTATGTTCTTCTTCTTTCAATGTGTTGTTTTGTTCCATTTTTTATAATTCTTATTACCACTTATTATTCTTGTTTTCAATTTCACATTTTTTCAATTTCAGGTCTTTTGTATTTTGATAGTTTTTCAAATTATTATTATATCAATTAGTAGGCAAGCTTTTTTTCTTTCTGGTTTTTTGACAATGATGTCCGGCCTATTTTCAATTTTATAACATAGAATGACATCTTCTATTTCTGTAACCGGCGCTGGCCGATGTTCATGTTCAGTGTTTGCTACATTTCCAAAGTGTTTGCACATTGTCCATTGTCTATCGTGACTTAGAACATCCTGAGATTAGATGGTCTATTGTTTCTTTTGTCACAGAACCTATTTTTATTATTATTATGATATTTTGAAAATTTTCTGGTCTTGCGCTGCAAGAATAAAGCCTTCAGTTTCAGACTTTAATCCAGATGCTCGTAACCATCGATGAGTATTAACTTTATCAACATTGGGTTTATCATGCAGAGGTTTGTCTTGCCCGTTGTTTCATCTGCATCCTTGCTTTCTTTTTCATATCTTTTGCTCAATAGTTGGTTCTTCTTCTTCTTTGATTTTCAGAATTCTAAATGTAAATGTTGTTTGTATTTACTGCCTTCTTTTATTATTGAATATTTTTCTTTCTGTTTTCATGTTGTTTCACTAATTTTATCATCCAGTCATTCATTATTATTATTATTATTATTCTTATTATTATTATTATTATTATTATTTTCATACGTATCATCACCGGCATGATCATTTCTTCTTCTTCTTCTTCTTCTTTTTCTTCTTCTTCTTCTTCTTCTTCTTATTATTATTATTATTATTATTATTATTAATAATATTTTATACATATCATCACCGGCATGATCATTTCTTCTTCTTCTTCTTCTTCTTCTTATTATTATTATTATTATTATTATTATTATTATTATTATTTTATACATATCATCACTGGCATGATTGTCATCCTTCTTCTTCTTCTTCTTCATTATTATTATTATTATTATTATTATTATTATATATGTATCATCACAGGTGAGTTGATGTAACAATACTCATCTTCATTCTTTTTCTTCTTCTCTTCTTCTTCTTCTCATTATTAATATTATTATTATTATTTCATACATATCATCATCGGTGAGTTGACTTTATCATTCTCGTCAAAATTTTTATTATTATTATTATTATTATTATTATTATTATTATTATTATTTCCTTGTGGTTCTGTTGTATACACATTTCTTTCCGAGTCCCAACCAGAGACCTAAGTTTAAAAATATCTCCGTGACATTTTCCAATGATTCTTTTTGTAAAATAATAAAACCAAACAAAAAAAAATGAAGGGTCACACACATTTTACATAGCTAAAGCTCTTCGTAATTTGTGAGGTGAACTTGTGAGTACAATTTTTTGTATTGCTTTAAAGGATCTGCTATCAAGAATGCCTTCAATGAGTCTATCGAACTCTTGTCCAATCTATCAACTACAACTGGAATTATTGATGTCCTCATATGCCAAATTTTTTAGATCTTCACTTCAAGGTCCTTGTATTTTGATAGTTTTAAGATATCATTATTATTATTATTATTATTGAACAAACATTATCATTGACGTAACTATTCCAATATTTTTTAACACTCAGAGCGCGATTTAAAGAATTTAAAGGAAAGACAAGGTGATTGACAATGTTCAACAGTATGTTGACAGTACATCTCTCTTCTTCATGATATGTTAAAACATTCTATACAAGTATAAATTATATGAAAAAATCTACGAAAACATTGTTTTTGTTACTTGTTATTTGCTTGCCTTGAGAAAGAACGGTTCTAGTTGTAATCAACGCGTCCAAACGAATGAAACTCAGCCATGCTCTTCTTGATATTTCCTTTAAGTTGATTAGTAACTGAGAAGAATTAATCAAACAGTTTAGTATGAATACTATGGGACGATGCTGTCATTCCCCCGGGATGGAAAGTTAATATTTTGCATACGTAACTAAACTCATGCGTTTTAAGGGTCGCAAGGATGGTGGATTTGTCAAAATGAGAGTGGTTTGTAAAAAAAATATTACACAAGTTCCATTGATATCTCATTGTTTTATCTGACTTCATACCTGTGGCCAATAAATCTTTTATTTAGATTTTCGTTGTGAAATCCACATAAGTCAAGTCAGGTTTGGTAACCTGATCGGCATATTTTAAATGGGAATCAGTAGAATTGCCGCCTTCTGAAGATATCGTGATGTTTCTAATTGAATTAGTGATAGAATTGGCTTTAATTCTGGAGAACAATGGCCAGAAACTCTAATGAAGTTTTAAACGTGAATGTTTATATTTATTCTATTTTATTTGATGTTTTTATTTCGCTTGAAAGAAACTATAGGCGGGTTGGTAAATTGTTAAACACTAGTTTAGCAAACTATTATTTTCAGATGAAGTGTATCTCTGCCCAGGCGTTGACAGCTGGAGTCAGATGTGAACCATAATAGAGAAGTCAATTTTCATTGGTTGGCTTTTGTGGGAAAGATGTCGGAAAAAAGGTTTCAGAGAGTTGTTTCTTACACGTCAAGCGATGAAGACGTGTTGTCTTTCGTGTCCAAAATGGCTCCCCAGTGCTCTCCTGGATAGTTAGATAAGGTACAACCGGTAACAATGAATATAGTGATTGAAAATAGTTCTGTCATTAGAGGACACCTTTAGAGTGCTAATGGCTGAAACAAATGGCTAAAAATTCAACTCTAGTTTTTGAGAAACTGGGTGTGAATTTTAGATTTGATCGAAAATAATTCTTTTGTGCAAAGCAACAGAAAACTGTAGAAATTTAGCAGCCTTCCCTACTATACTCTTCCGTACCGTTTACTACCGTACAGTTACCTTCCGTACCGTTCCTTACCATACCTACCCTTTTTCGTACCGTTCCCTTTTCCTTATTGTTCTCTACCGTACCATTCCCTTCTATACCTTTCCTTACCGTACAGTTTCCATCCGTACCATTGCTTATCGTACCATTCCATACCGTACCGTACCCTATCGTACCGTACCTTAATGTACCATTCCCTACCGTACAGTTACCTTCCGTACCGTTACTTACCATACCGTTCCTTTTCCGTACCGTCCCCTACCATACCATTCCCATCAATACCGTTCCTTACCGCACAGTTTTCATCCGTACCATTGCTTACCGTACCATTCCCTACCGTACCCTACCCTATCGTGCCGTACCTTAACGAACCATTCTCTACCGTACGGTACTCTACCGTACCGTACATTAACGTACCGTACACTTCTGCACCGTTCCTATCTATACCATTCCCTACGGCACCGTTCCCTTCCATACCATTCACTACTGTACCGTTCCCTCCCGTACCATTCTCAACTGTACCATTCCTTACAGTACAGTTCCCTTCCGTACCGTTCCCATCAATACCGTTGCCTCTCCTACTGTTCCCTTCAGTAACGTTCCTTACTGTACCGTTCCAATCCGTACCATTCCCTACCTTACCATTCCCTTTCGTAACGTTCACTACCGTACCGTTCCGTTCCGTAGCATTCCCTTCTTTACCATTCACTTCCGTAGGGTTTCCTAACGTACCCTTAACTTTTATACCATTCTTCCCGTACTGTTCCCTTCCGTACCATTCCCTCCCTTACCATTCGCTTCCGTACTGTACCCTACACCGTACCGTACCTTACCGTACCATTCCCTAACACAATGTTCCCTCCTGTTCTAGTCCCTCTCGGAACGATCCCTACTATACCATTCCTTACCGTGCCATTCCCTTCCGTACCATCCAATCTGTACTGTTCTCTACCACACCGTTCCCTTCCATGCCATTCCCTTGTGTGCCATTCCCTAATGTACCATTCCCATCCGTACCATTCACTACTGTACAGTTAACTCCCAAACCATTTCCTTCTGTACCATTCCCTTCCGTACTCTTCCTTACCGTACAGTTCACTTTCGTACCATTCCTTACCATACCGTTTCAATCATACCGTTCCCTCTCTTACCATTCCCTTCCGTACCATTCCCATCCGTACCATTCCCTACTGTACCGTTAACTTCCATACCATTTCCTTCTGTACCATTCCCTTCCGTACCGTTCCCTACCATACTATTCCTTTCCATAGCGTTCCAATCCGTACCATTCCCCACGGTACCATTCGCGTCCTTACCATTCCATACCATCCCCTCCTGTACCATTCCCTTACGTACCGTTCCTTACTTGTACCGTTCACTTCCGTACAATTACTTACCATACCGTTCCCATCTGTACCATTCACATCCGTAGCGTTTCCATCTATACCGTTCCTTACCATACATTTCCCTTCCACACCATTCCTTGCTGTACCATTCCCTCCCATACAACTCCCATCCGTGCCGTTCCTTCCCGTACAGTTCCCTCCTATACCATTCCCTACCATACCATTCCTTACTGTACCGTTCCCCCTCGTATCGTTCCCTTCCGTACCATTCCCTTCCATAACGTTCTCTACCGTACCATTCCTTACCATACCATTTCCTTCCGTACCATTCCAATCCATACCATTCCCTACCATACCATTCCCTAGTGTACTGTTTCCTTACGTACCGTTCCAGATGAAGAAAATAAAAATAAATCACATTCAGTGTAGTGGTTTATTGCCAAACATTGATTTGTAAGCTTCAAGTAGTTTTTCTTCGAAGTTTGTCATGAAACATTTGCAATGATAACAGCCATTGATGTCTCCATTTCACATCCTTTGGTTTAGCAGTAAAACTCTTCCCCAAACTTCAACGTATTTCTTTCCAAAACGTACAGTCTACAAAGAAAGTTTGACGCAATTGTTTTCTGTTTGCGTTTCTCAAAAAGCTGCACGACTTAATCCCTTCACCAGAATGATCACTGCTAACTTAAAGAGACGAGACATACATTTTTTCCTTTTTGAGAATTTATTAATTTTAGAAATAAAATCACATGCGTCCGGACATAAAACTTTTTTTTTTCCATGGAAAATAAGTAGCCACGGTGCAACACAAAGATTTTTGCGGTACAACATTCGTATCCACTACAAATCAGGCGTAGTAGGAGAAAATTATCAAATTTCTTGTGTATGCTTGGAAGGCCGTAAAAGCAGTTGTTCTTTGTTCTGAAGAAAATATTTTGGAGTTCGTTTCATTGATAGAAAATTCATTCAAGAAGTTGTCTTGCTTTTTTTCTAGTTTACAGTTTATTTTTAATTCTTCATAATCTTTGCCGCTTAAAAGATCTTCACAGGCTCAGATATAATTATCCTTATAACACTGGCGCCTACTTTGTCTGCCGTTTTGATGGCAATCAAATTATCATTGACGAGACGTTGCGAAGTGGTAAGTTTGTTTCAGATTTTGGTACTGTTTAATTTTATGTTCTCCCTTGTACCAACCTGTGACATTTTACCAAACATTCTAGTAACAACTGTGAGCATCCGTCTCGAATTTCTTCTGGACACCGGGATTGGTTTTTATTAACCAAATCATGTCAGATTCAATCACTATATTCATTGTTACCGGTTGTAATTTTTGTCGTATTTTCACCATCATTTTTCTCGAAAATGTTCCTTCAGCTTGTGGCAGCGGACAAAATAGAAATATACACTGAGTTATTTTTATTTTTGTCGAGGTTTCTAGTACTTGGGCAATAATTCAATCCAAGCTCTGAGATAAAAATTTAATCTGGCAAAAATTTGAATTTAAAATAAATTTATTACATGTTTATTTTCCAGCTGTTTCGTAATTTTAGCAGAAGTATTGGTAGTGGATTTAATTTTTTTTTTTACATATTTTGTTGTGTATTGAGGTTCGATGTTTTTTTTTTTTTGTATTTTTCACTGATACCATTTGACATGTTTTGCGTTAAAATCTGTTAGGAAGAGTTGTGATATGGAATGTTAGAATTTTTGTCATGTCATTTAGGAGACCCATTTTCGAGTAAGAGGTAAGATTTACTTGTGAATATTATATACGTTGTCATTTAATGAATTGTAGTTTTTGGGAAGGGAATAAATCTATTATTTTCAAGACAAAATTGAAAATGCAACCTCATTTTTGGATTTCTGGGGAATTTTCTATAACTAATGTCAAACGCAACTTTCCGCAGTGACATGGGCCAACTTGATGATTGGATATGTGAACCTGTTGGATAGACATAGTTATATCAGTAGATTGAAGTTATTTGCACAGTGAGGTTGCAAAAGACATATACGTCTAAAAAAAAAAAGTGGTGAAGTGCTGGTTTTTCATTTGGTGTTTAAAAATGAGCGATGTAAACAGTATCTGAGGAAATCAGTAAGGGATAAAATAATAGGCATGTATCTGAATTTCTGGAAATTTGTTAGTAATCCGTGCGAAATCAGCGTCCAGAAGCCGGTCGCATGACATTTGTCTAGAAACTAAGTATATTTTCTCCATGTTTTTCAAATTGAAATCCTTTACCAGTAGTATCAATTGAATGGATAGACCTCAAATCTTTTTAAGCTCCTTCTCTTTCTTGAACGTAAAGAAGAGATTTTCTCGTTCTTGAAATTTTATAAACAATGAAATAAATGAATGCAACGAGCAAATCTTTGCAAGTTTCTTTAATTTCATTTGGATTTGCGTATTCACAGTGACCAATTTTGGATAGCACCATCTCTAAAATGGAAAGAATTGTCGTCTCCTATTAATTTGAACATTTCATCTAGAGAGTCATCGGCTCGCGATACACTCATGAAAATTTCTGATGTGAAACCATAAGGGATGATCTTTTGGCATCTGCAGACCAGCAGAAAAAAACTGATGACTTGTTATCTTAGCACGAAAAATAGGCTACCTCCAGTAACACAAATGAACTAGGCATGACGCCTTAAATAAAGAAGTGATTCAAGGGGAGACGTATAAAATAGTTAATGTCAATCACCCTAACCCATCTCCCCCTTTCAGACCTTGCTCCACAAATAATGTATTCACACAGTAATAAATACTACTCCGTTGCAGTCAGGCTGTCCGCTTTCTGGATCGCGATTGGCAAGCTCTCTGTCTTCGGAGAGAGTGCGGTTCAATCAGGGCACTGTCTACGGACGGAGAAAAATAGACAATGAAAATTGCCAGATCCCGCAATTTTAGAAGATAGCTAAATGTTGACATTTGGTCCGGGTGTATGCGCTCGGGCTCCTCACACTAAACTTGTCCTTGTCTCACATCTCGTCTCATTGGGGAGACCAGTTCGTTGGAGACAGGCAGTCTGCTTTCTAGCTCACGTATGCCAAGTTCTCTGTCTTCGGACGATCCAGTCGGAGCTCTGTCTGCTAATGGAAACTCGGCTTAGAATGATAGACAATGCAAAGTTCCCGATCCCGCGGTTGCTGGGGCTGGGTAGAGTTTGATCTTTGGCCAGAGGTACACCCTCGAATTTCCCACACTAAATTCGACCTTGTGTCACACCTCGTCTCAATTGGGAGACTGGGTAATTACCAGTCGGTTGGAGTTAGTACAGAGTCCGTTAAACCTTACTCTTGGCTAACTCTCGTTTGTGACCGATTGAAGTCTCGTCTCGCACGTGACGTTTTTTTTTGACCGGCTACAGTCTTTCTTAGATTTGGGATTTTTGTTTGTATATATCTGCTTTGTTGGAATTTGGGACTCCACATCTGGTTAAGTTGGACTTTATTCATATTAATTTGACTTAATTTTTTTTTTTTTTTTGTATTGAATTTTTTTTGACAAACCATCTAGACTATTGTCTAATTTAATTTAATTAGTAGTTATATTTTTTTTTATTTTTTTGCTCGTCAATTTTTTTCGGCGTAGCGTTTCTTTTTTTTTTTTTCTTTATTTTTGTGCTGCAACTGTTTTTTTTATTTACTTCCCCACCTGTTACTTTTCCGTTTTTCAAATATTCTCTTCAAACCATTATTCTGTGACGTGGATATCGAGGTTTTGCAGCTATAATCTATTTTCCATCGTTCTAAACAGTTTCAGTGCTGAGTTGCCGAATGAGAATTTTCTACAACTCTCGAGAAGTTTCTGAAATTTTAGTGAATACTAGAAAGCTCTGTCAACATAGATTGCAGTATAAATAGAAGGAACGAAAGCTCAATAGTTCAGTTCATTTCTCTCTATATGACCGGATGAAGTCTCGTCACTCACGTGACATATTTGTTTGTATATACCTGTTTTGTTCGAATTTTGGACTTCACATCTTGATAAGTTTGACTTTATTTTATTAATGCCAATCAATTTTTTTTTTTTCATTTTACTCTCTCTTTCTGAATTTTTTTACTCCCGCGGTAGTAAACTGTTTATTTTATTTTATTTTTTTAATATTCTACAGTGTAAATGCGTTAAAATAAGACTATTGTTTTAATTTCTTTTTCTTATCTTTCATTTGTATTTTTAGTTAAGTGTTTTGTATTTCTATCTTTCATTCGGATAATCTTTATTTGTTTTTGTCGGGCATTATGTAATTTTGTAGTGTATATATTTCCAACTTTTTATTTACCTTTCGTCGCTTAATTCGGCGATCCATTTTTTTCTTGTGTTTACTACAGTGTAACCCGGATATAAGAGAAAACCGGATATAAGAGAGATTTTCCCTGGTCCTAAATTAGAGCCTGTGTTAATGTATATAAAATAGACCAAACCCGGATATAAGAGAGATTTTCACTGCTCCCAAATTAGAGCCTGTGTTAATGTATATATAATCGACCAAACCCGGATATAAGAGAGATTTTCACTGCTCCCAAATTAGAGCCTGTGTTAATGTATATACAGTGTAACCCGGATATAAGAGAGTTGTCGGGACCGGAGAAGAATTCTCTTATAACCGGGTTTCTCTTATATCCGGGTTTGGTCTATTATATATACATTAACACAGGCTCTAATTTGGAACCAGAGAAGAAGTCTCTTATATCCGGGTTTCTCTTATATCCAGGTCTCTTATATCCGGGTCTCTTATATCCGGGTTACACAGTATAATAGACCAAACGCGGATATAAGAGAGATTTTCTCTGGTCCCAAATTAGAGTCTGTGTTAATGTATATAAAATAGACCAAACCTGGATATAAGAGACTTCTCCGGTCCCGACAACTCTCTTATATCCGGGTTACACTGTATTTATATTCTATTTTTGTTCGTCACTTTTTTTATTTTAAACACTTTTATTTTAGTGTATTTTATTTTTAGTGTTTACATTTCCATGTTGTTTTTTTTTCGTCGCTTGTATCTGCAAACTTTTTTTTTTCGTGTCTTAAATTTTTAGTTTATTGTTTTATTTTTGCTCGTCTGTTTTTTTGACAAACCTTTTACTCTATTGTCTATTTTCATTTTTTTAGTGTTTATATTTCTATCTTTTATTTTTTGCTCGTCGATTATTTAGCGAAACTTTTTTTTTTTCATATCACATATTTTCCGTTGTCTACTTTTTCTCACTTGCTTTCTTTTTTCGCTATAACCATTTTATAACTTGTAGTATATTATTTACCCGCCCCACCGTACATTTTTCCGTTTTTCAATTTTTTTATTGGGGTTAATTGTTTAATTTTGTATTGTTAAATAGTCTTTTTCTTCATATCGTAGAAGAACTTCGTTTAATTTCAGTATCTTAAGTTAATTTTCTTTTCTTTTCGTTTTTCTTTTTATTTTATAGAACAAAACGCACACACGC